GATACACTTAATGTCTCAACAGAAGGACCGCAACACTCGAAAAAATTCCTCCCCAAACGGGAATCGAACTCAGGTCATTTGCGTTGGACCGTGCTTCGTGGTGTAGTAGATCACTTTTACAGAGCGGAAACGTTGCATTGCTTCTCGCAAGAGCAGTATCAGACTCATTCAAAAACTGTAAAAAGTTATACAGCTCTACCAACACAATGTGGGTAATTCTGAAGAGTGGCTGTTGCAACTCTGTAGGCAGACATACTTTTATACAAACAGACAAATAGACAGACAGTCAGATACTAGATACAAACAACATGGGGATAATGAAAAAGTAAGGACCTATCAAAGGCACCGCCCAACCCAACCACATTCAAATTATTTTGAAGGAAGAAAAAGGTTATTTGTACGATCCCTTCAAAGCCAGAAGCGACAGAGAAGAGAGGAAGAGAAACTGTCACAGATAAGGATGGTGAACAAACGAGGATTTGAGCTCATTCATCGAGTCGGGAGACTACGTCACACAGACCACTCGGGGCTTCATTTAGTCGAATCGGTCCGATAAATAATGGGAATCGAGCTTAACGATCTGAGAGGAAGAAAGAAAACAGGAGGGGGTCTTTGCGTGCTGGCGTTTGAAGTCTACCGAGGGACGCGAGGTGTGACCGTGATGACGTCACGGTGGTCAGTGGGTGGTCTGCGGGTTGTACTGACTGCAGTGATGTATCAAGGACAAGTGGGTCCGTGTGTCCATTGAGGATTAAATCGGTGAGGTTGTCGAGAGTGTTTGATAGAACGCGATTTGGTTCAGGGAGCAAGTGGAACCGTTAGTTTGATCGCTTCCGGCTCTTTGAGCCCCACTTCCTTCTCCTCCTCTCTCTCCTCTTCTTCTCCCCTCCCCCAATCTCTCTCTCTATCACAGATGCACATAATATCTCATACAGGCTAGTTCTCACACAAACTTATTTACAGATCATACCTTACAAACACACACACACACACACACACACACACTCAAGCTCTTGTGAGCACAGCGACAGCAGCAGTTCGAGAGTTCGAGCGAACTTTAGAGGATAAGGTACGGGTGTAAAGTTGCATTTACATCTTAGTTCAAAAGAAGAGCAAAAAGTGCTGCAGCGCGACAAAGTACCGAGATAACGCTAGACCAAGGCTAGACATATATAAAAGCCATATAGATCGAGAGCAACACATGGGTTATAAGGCTTTTTTTGTTTTGCTGTGTATACATTTTTTTCAGTGAGAATTTTACTGCACTTGCAAAACGAATAGGTCATATAAGTGCCGAAGATTAATTAGATATGTTACATACTAGATGGTAATATAATACAAAGAAAAGAAGGGGGAGAGAAAAGGACACTAGACAGTTACTAGGAACGAAAGAGCAAACCTTACTAGAGCGCCCGCCAACCACCCGCGGAAGAAAATGACAGAATATAATCACTGATGTATCCAAATACAGTAAAACTGAAACGACATAAGTTTCGCCCTGCAGCCACTGCGACGGTTTTAAGATTTTAATTAAAAAAGCAAGGTTGCAAGATTGGGTAGAAAGCGCAGTGTAAATTCTGAGACTTGGGTTGAAAAGACGAACTACTTTATTTTCTATTATATATTGAGCAACTCAATATCAACCGCTGATGATGTTACTTTAACTTTTTCCAGATAACGTCGAAACTACATGCATGCATAAATACACGTATCAGCTACAAGTAGTAGAACGTGGTAAAAACTTTTGAAATTTGATGGAGTAGGTAATTTATAAGATCTTCACTTGTCAAACGGACACATTTCTCCCGACTTCATGCCGAGCACCGTGTCTAAAAATGTCACGCGCGCGCTGCGAGTGTGTATGTTTGTGTGAGAGTG